GGGGCCGCAGGTAAGGGCATCACCCCGCTCGCCCCCAGGCCCATCCCGGGGCGGTGTTGAGGGCTCGGCTGCGGGCGGAGGGCACAGCCCGACACCGGGGGGTGGCCGGCGGGACCCCGCTGCCGGCACGGAGCGGGCAGGGCGGAGGGCGAGGGCTGCGATGGCACCGGGGAGCGGCCCCGGGCACCTGGGGAAAGGCTCCCAGGGCTGCAGGGCACTGGGGTTTAACACGGCACTGCCCCATTGTGGGGCGTTCTTTTTTTTGTTTTGGTTTAGTTTCGGGCGGGTGGGGGGTTGTTGGGTTTTTTTCCTGTGTTTGGTTTGGGATTTTTCTCCCAGAGCAAGGCAAGGCGCTGACACACTTAAACCTCGAAGAAGGAACCCCCAGCTGTGCCCGGGGCTCCAAGGCTATTTCAGGAATTCACTCTGTGCCCATCTGCCGGGTGCTGGGCCCATGCCATCATGTAACAGCAGAAAACCTGATATGATACAGCAGCCTGTACCAATATAATCCAGCATGTCTCCTTCCTGACGTCACCATTCTGTTCGACATGAACTTCAGATTTTTAAAAACACTCTATAAGATCCTTCTCTAACTGTTGTACTCGTAAGGGAAATAGTACAGGCACAAATACTATACAATGTTGTGGTCCTGTTCAATTTCCAGTTTATGCCTTAAATCAGCACTGAAGGAACTGTTTAGGAACACTCTCAATGCTGTTCCTTTTTTATTCTTAGCTACAGATTAAAATTTTTAGCATTTTTGACCCATTTTTAGATATTCAAGGATAAACAGTTTGGGGTGATACCAAGCTTTCAGTACAGTAAAACACCCAGACTTACTCCAGAGACAGTAACTCATTCAATTAACTTTTCTGTATTAAGTTTTCTTCATATTAAATAAAGCCTTTTACGAACACCTCTCTCCTCCTATACATTCATCTGAAATTATCTGGTTCAAGGAAAAGCCTACTGCTACAACAGAACACTAAAAATGAAGGAATTTGGATTATAAGAAGTCAAGACATGCCTCTTCCCTTCTTTCCTGTGTGCCATCCTTAGATAAAGCCAATGTTATAAATAACTTCTGGCAAACTACAGAACAAAAATCTTTGGACATATTTATCTACTCCCAAAGCACACAAATATTCAAGTTTAAAGAGGGAGCAGAGACCCTGAATAATTTTTACCCCGGTTTCTAACACCCGGACTGATGGCAGCAGCGTCCCCCAGCGCAGCTGGGAGCACTGAGCCCCCCGTGCTGCCCCCGAGGCACAGCCCCGAGCCTGGCACAGCAGCTGGGCACCAGCTTTGCTCCCAGCACTGGGACAGCACAGGCACGTCCAGCACGCAGTGCCAGCTGGAGCTGCAGCTGCACTTTGGGTTACCTTCCAACTTCACCAAACATGAGATGTGCTTCACCTGCTGGCTGCAGAGCCAGGAGCCACAGTTCATCCCTCCTGCTCCTCTCCCTCCCACGCTGCTCTGTTCTGCTCTTACTGACCTTCCCTCTGGGCACCCTCTCCAATTTTTGGCATCCTGTGTACATGACTGTTCCTCCCCATGGAACAGACACCTCATGACTTCAAGGACAGACTCGGGCAAGATTACCTTCTGTTCACATTTCATCCCCAGTGCTGGGCAAAGCATGTGTCTGCACCCATGGATGTCCTGAGCTCATTCTGCTGTCCACAGGCCCCACATGGAAGAATATTAACGTCAACCACAGTAGCTGCTGAAACCACAGCCCTTTGCCTCAGCCTTTGTGAGTTACAGGAAGAGATCAGCCTCCTACAGCATATGCTCAAACTGCTCCCAGTTCATCTGCAGGGAGTAAAAATGGGGTAACTGCAAACATTGTGGTGTTTTTCCTGCCATAAGCATAACTGAAGGAGGTCAACACAAAGGTGAATCCAACAAGTATCGTCCCAATGCATGTGGCACAATTAAATAGAATTTTATTTTCAATAAATATACAATCTGCATCATACCAGACAATACGCTGTGAAAAAATAAAGTGTACAGAAGCAACCAACAAGACAGCTTGACCGCAGCAAAGTTCACTTGGTGACCTGAAGAACTACCTGGGTAAACACACACAACACAGAAAGAGCCACTGCAGTCTGTGAGAGAATTAAAATTGTGTTTTCTGGGTCTTCTTCACCGCCAGAGTCCCTGGAGCAGGCTTTTTTTTTTTGCACAGCACATTTGAAAGGACGTGAGCTGGTTTTCCCAGTACAAATGCTATTGGAAATGTTTATTTTTCTATATCAGCACGGAATCTACTACGCACACAGACTGCTATCGAGACTGGCAGGTCACCGCTGACGGGACACGGGATCCGTCCGACGCGGGCCACGCGCGTGCCCGCACACAAACGCACACACTAACAGCAGCTTAACTCTGTAAAAACTAGTACAAGGACAAAACTGCAGTCAGAATCGATTTCACCACAGCTTCTACCGTTTAAAAAAATATTCTAGTCTAATTACCACGTTCACCAATGAGAGCACACGGGTACTTATATCTCCAAGAGGATGAGCCATGGATTTGGACTGGAAGGACAACAGAGGCAACTCCCAGCTCCTCCACCCACTCCGTGCTTCCCATGGCCCGTCCATGCCCAGCCGGCCCCGCGCTCCTCCCGCGGGATGCGAACAGCTGGGGGCAGAGGCCAGAGGTCAGGCCCCAGGGGAACAGCTGGACCCGTGGGACACGGATCACTGAGGCCAGCGCGGCCGGCCGGGTGCCGGCGGCCGCTTTAATCCAACGGAGCTGCTGTGGGGTAGGGTGTGAGGTGGGGTGTCTCGGTGCTCGGTTCATTGTTTATCTCGTCCACCCGCTCGGTCCGGCTGCCGTCGGTGGCCGGCTCATGTCACCTCGAGGGACGCGGGCGACACGCGGTCGCACTCCTCGCGGGAGCGAAGGCTGTGCCACTGCTCCACGGCCGTGCGGTGCGCGTTCAGCATCCGGCGCCAGTGGTTGGACTCGGGGGCGCCCGTCGAGTACTGGCCGATCACAATCCTGCCAATGAAGTCATTGCTGCTCTTCACGTTGTGCCCATACACTGCGGAGAGCGGAAACAGAGACTGCTCAAGGCAAAAGCAGCGCTCGCCCACCCAGAGCCCTGCCCCAGGAAACCAGTGTCCTACAAATGTCCCCCCACAGCAGGTGCCACTAACTCAGCATCTGAAAAACCTTAGAGAAACAGGAGCTTGGCAGGAGCAAAACAAGCTGTACTACAGACTGAAATACAATTCAGATAAGACACAAATCCACAGTTACCACGGTATTTACCATGAATAGGTAGATTTATAAAATGATTTGTGTTGGAAGGGACCTGAAAGATCATCCTATTCAACCCCCATGCCGTGGGCAGGGACACCTTTCACTGGAAGCAGGCTGCTCAAAGGCCTTGAAGGAGAATTTCCTTGTGTAAAGAAGTGCCAGAAGCTCTGCCTGGGCATCATGAAATCACAAAAGCAGCCCAGCAGCCTGAGCCCAGGGGAACGCCAAAGCAGCATCCCAAGCTGCCCTCCTCCAAACACACATCACACAAACACTCCAGTGCTGATCCACAGCCTTCCCTGCTCCGAGACAGGAATCACACACATCCAGGCTGGCAGCAGGATGTTTACACAGCAACAATTTCCATCATTCTCTCATAATGCAGCTACTTGCTAAAAGTCCAGGAAAGCAGCTGAGGGAGAGACATCAACCCAACAGCCTGTCCTTTGGATTAGCCCAGTCTCCTGGAACAAAAGATCGCAGACAGCAGCAAACCCTAATGATGGGCCTGATCCTGGGGAGGGCTGAACACTCCCAGCAGACAGGAGCAAAAGCACTTCGTGTGTTGCAAAACGAAGCCCTGCCTCAACTCATTAGAAAGCTGAAACAAAGTCTTTGCAAGCTGAAGCCAGGATATCCACAGGCACTGCCTGGAATATTAACGATTAAAAAATCTCCTTAGGAAAGAGAGGGATTTTTAAGGACAAATGTCTACAGGAGCTCCAAATCCAGCTGGGCTGTGCAGCCAGAGCATGTTCAGCCTGGCGTCGAGCCCCTGCCAGCAGCACCAGCTCTCCAGGGCTGCTGGAAACCAGCACTGGCAGCAAAACAACATCTGGGAACCCCCACAGCATCACCCGATGTGAGCACACCCTCACAGGCAGGTAGGACAGCGAGCACAACACACTCAACCTCGCTTTTAACTACACACCATTGCCAGGGCTGTGCATCTCCTATTATAACACACCCCCAAGTGATCAGCATCACTTTAACCTGCCCCTCTGCCTTCTCCACATTCTGCAAAGGCTGGTTCCTCTCCTCTGCACCAGCCTGGGATCTTGCTCTGGGAAACTCAGGCACCACCTACAGTGCAGTCCTGAAACTGAGCAGTGCCAGGTTACATCTCACTTTATCCCTCCTGACAGCCCTGACACACACAGTTTATGGGCAGAGATGCTTCTGCTCGCCAATTTACCTGTGGATATTTTAGGTGACAGCAAACCTTCCATTGCCCAAGTAATTTGTTCAAATAATTGCTCTAAAAAAATCTACCCTGCAACTCAGGGCCCTCTAAGTCTATCTTCAAATGACATTTAGAAATGATCTGGGGCTTGCCACCCCAGCAGGAAGACTGCATCTCTTGTGCCTGTCACCATCAGTTATCTAGGGCTGATGGCATCAGGACGTGTTGCCAAGCAAGTGCCCCTGTCAAGAGGCCAGGCTGGTGTTTTTTGGAAAGGCCACCTTCTGAGGACACTGTCAGGAATTCTAAGCCATCCATCTCCAACTAATACACAGCCTGTCAGGGTTATTAACGAGTTCTACAAGGCAATGAATCACAGGTGTAGCTAGCAGGACTGTACTAAATGTTTTGCTATGATTTATTAGCCTACAGAAATCAAATATTTAATCCTGGGAGACAGTACCAAGTAATTTAAACCAAGAAGCCTCACAGGCCATCAATTAATCACAGGATAAATTAACAGGGGAGAAGTACCTCAGGCATACCAATTCTTCAAAAATACTTCATGCCAGGACTGTAAAACAAGCAGGTGTGCTAACTAAGGGCACCTGTTATTCTACTGTTGATCCAAGTATTTTGAATTCTAGTAATGCAACTTGCTAATCGCATTGTGTCAGGTAATTAGCATGCTGAGTCCTTTGGAGTATTAATGGGCTAATTATACAAGCATTGTTGCTTCTATCATTAACTACTGTAGATAGCACAGAGAATTATTGCTGAGGAACAGGGAAGACATTTTCCAAGGCCAAATGCTTATTCACACATAGACCATAAGAGGTAGCACTAGACTGACCTCAGGTTTACAAGCTCACAGCTTCACCACAGCAGCTTTGAGAAAGATGAGAGGTCTTTGTGTGCCAGAAATTCAGCTTTACCCATCAGTTCAGAAGCCTTTTAAACTCAAGGACATGCCTTTCTGGGAGGCTAGCAGCTAAATGGCCAGGATTTGCTGAGCAATCTGTGGATGGCTGAGTTCACCGAGGTAACGAATGCACCTTACCTGAGAAGAGGCTGGAGCTCACATTGAGAAAATAAAACCTTTCCTTTGCTCACATTCAGGAGCACCATTTTCCCTGTTGCTGCCACCAGTACTTCCAAGAACAGCTTGGGAAAGAGAACAGTAGGAGCCCACAGGCCCAGGTGAGCAGCTGGAAGCAGAGACTGGCGCTCCCATCCCGACACAGGGAGGGAGAGCATCTCCCCAGTCCTCCTGTGCCTGCAGCAATCGCTTCTCAAGCAGGGCAAGAACCATTTCCTTCAGCACCAACAAGCACCAGCCCTGCTGCACTCAGGTCTGAGCCTTCAGCCTGCTCCAAGCCCTGCAGAAGCAGCACCAGCACAGCCTCGCTGCACATTCTGCAGCGAGCAGCGCTGCTCAGGCACACCCCACAGCCACAGCTGCTCCAGACACAAGCTGAGCTGGGTGCTTACTCCACTCTGGGGCTGGCCCCTGCCTGCCTGGAAGGTGACTGCTGATGCAGCATCCGTGGGGAGTCCTGGGAGCCCCTTGGAGCAGGAGAGCCCTGCAGAGCTGGAGCAGCAGCCTGCACCAGAGCCCTCTGCTTCTGCACACAGTGACACACACCACGGCTGCACTCCCACCTGCACTGGAGCCAATACCACATAAACTGTGTGGAACAGTCCCATGTTCAGCCCCAGCACTTGGTGAGGCCTCAGAAGGTGCCCCCTTCACACACCTGCCCATTCAGGCAGCAGCCAGTGGCCAGCAGCCAGCCCTTCCTGTGCCCAGCCCCAGCCAGTGGGGCTGAGCTGCCAGCTTAAGCAGAACTGAAATCTGCTTCTGAACTGCTTGACACCAATATTAAAAGGCTGTTTAGCACAAAGAGGTGCCACAAGCAGCAGCAGCAGCTGGGCTAATGATGCACACTGAGGAGGTCACGACCCAAATCCTGCCCCTTGCTCCTCGAGCATGGCCTGTCATATTTAGTAGAGAGGAGAGAAAAGCACGGGAGAAGATGCCGTGGTTTCCCATTTATCAGTTTAATCTCCATCAGGGTCTGATGGGCACATTTAAACTCTTTCCAGCCCTCCTCTGTGTGACTACTGCCTGCACTGTCTGCACCTGCCCAGCTCCAGAGGGAACAGGGACTACTGGAGTACATGGCCACACCAAGAGACTCTGCAAACCTCCCACCAGGGCAGCCCCTGTGCTCTGGCTGGGGCTCCCTGCACCCCAGACCAGGTGCTTGCCTAATCACGGTCTGCTCTCAGGCAGGGCAAGTCCTGCAGCAGCCAGCAGGGATGCAGGGTGCAGGGAAAGTGCAAATGCACAAGTGTGTCTTGCAGAGAGCTCAAGGGCATGCAGGGATGACACCTCATGAAATTACCTCATCGGGGGAAACTGGAATAAAGGGCTGGATGCATCTATCTCAACAGCCCAGAGGATACTGAAAAGGAGTATCTGTGGCTGGCTTTCTCCACTTCCAGCTCCCCTTTTCTCTCAAATTGCCTCTTACTTCTCTGCACTGTGAGCCCCAGATGCAAGAAAGCACACAGATGGCTTGGTGCACATTTACACACCTCACAGGAAGAGGCTCCAGTGCCACACAGCACCTACAAACAGAGGCAGGGACAGCCATGCAGGGAGGCAGCCTCTGCATCATCCATCTCCTGTGACAGCCACAGCCAGGCACAGCCATTCCACCTCCAGACACTGCTCTGCTGCCCACAGCAGCTCCTGCCACCCAGACTTTTCTTCATTTGATACACAGGCAGATTATGGCACTGCAAGACATTTGACATTTCCTTTCACTACAGCACGAGCCAAACAAGAGGAAGGGCTGAGGGCAGGAGAGCCGTGACACTGCTTAAATTAAGGTGCCTGGCAAAAGGAGCAAGCACCCATCATCAGCCTGGAGAGAGGAGAGTCTGCTCCTTTCCTTAGGAGAAAAAGATTATCAAAAGATTCCAGAGAACTCCAGGACAGGCAGTTTCTGCCACATCAGATGCAGTACATTTATTAACTAAGTCAGGCCACTTGATGAATCTAATTTTGCCTTCTAAGCAAGCAACAGATCGGATCAGGAAGCGTCAGCATCTTGTTGCTCTCACCCTGATTAATGGTGTTTCGCTCCTCCTTGTTAAAGCTGTCAGTCTGCTGCAAAAAGCCAAATCCAACCTCAGAGCATCTTCCCTGAGTGACCCCAAGGCAGGATTGAGCCTGCAGGACCTCACTCAGCATCTCTGACCGGCCCTCTGCTGTCACCTGCTCCAGGCTGAGCAGCAGCACCTGCCATGGAGCCCAGCAGGTCACAGAGGGGACTGGGAATGGAGAGCACTGGGGCCCCTTCTCCTCCCAAAGGGGATTTGTACCTCTGGAAATGTGCACAGAGCCACTGTGAGGAGGCTGTGCCAGGCAGGCTGGGCTTCAGGGGTCTCCCCTGCCAGCACATGTCCCCCAGCCCTCTCCCAGTGTCCTCCCAGGACCTGCAGGGCACCAGGGCAGGAGCAGGCCTGGGAGGGCAGGAGGCACCAGCCAGGAGCTCACTGCTCTCCCCAGACCTGGGCATGGACCA